CTACTGGTGCAACCTCCCCCCCGTCACGCCTGTGGCAAGCTGATAACATCTCATAATAATCTTCATATCCCTTGGGAAATGTGTATAAATGTTCCTGTTTTCAAGAACATTCCGCTTCAAGTTGACAAAAAATAATCCGGTCCTGTGTGGAAGAAATAGGTGGTAGAAATTTTGTGGCTTCTTTTGGGTGTAAATGACCTGATTGTCGGAAAAATTGGTTTCCTGCCCAAGGGCTGTGGGCTGTGGGGGTCACTCTGCCTGCTGCCAGGGCCACCCTTCAGGAGGTCTCCATCAGGCCCCTCCACACAATGAGAGAAGGGTCTCCATCCCATACCAAGATTAGAGTAGGAGGGTTTCTCAGGACAGCAGGCTGAAGCCTTCACTGATATTATCGCCTTCCAGGGGGGATTAAACTGAACCCAACATCTTTCAAAAGTTATCGCTGAGATTTTCGTGCATTAACTCAGTAGTTGAACAAAATCGGCTGGAATGAAAGGAGACTTCCAGCAGAGTTAATGATTCTGGATATTACTGATTGGTTTGTGAGTTTATATATAGCGTTCCTCATTGTACTGAACAGCAGAGAAAGGTTCCCCTTTGAATTTCACTGCTGGATGCAGGGTAAAGTTCAGGTTTTCATTTTCTAGAATACTTAAAATGCTTTTGAACTGCTGCTCGAAGACCCGGGAACTGATGCTATTTCATAGCTCCAGTTGAAATCTAACAGAAAAACCTGTTCCTAGGGGAATTCAGCAGAAAGCTGGCAGGAGGGGCTGAGCCCAGCCCTTGACATCCCCCCTGGCCTCCACGGTGGGATGCACACCCCTGCCTGGGGTACGCACACGTGGGTGAGCCCCCAACCCCTGCCTGGGCAGAGCTAATGACTGGCACCCCAGTTTTCCTGAGGATAACCTGTTTTCTGGGGTGCGCTGCTTTGCCTCCCTGCTCTTACCAGGATGCTCGCTCCCCTGGACCGGGGGTGGTTTGAGGGGAGGTTTCTCCCAGGAGTAACTTGCTCCTGAAAGTAAAGTGCACTTTAGCTGCAGCGCTGACTGCTGAGTTGCAGGCAGGGTTAATGAGCCAGGCAGTTGCCTCTCAATCCCCAGAGCATCTCCTGCCTGGATGGAGATGGTAGCTGACTGCAGCGGCTTGATCTCTGGCTGTTCCCTAATTAGGTGACACCTTTGTGTGGAGTGAAAAGCTTCTCCGCGCCCCTTGTGTCTGCGCACCTCCAAAAGCAATTGTCAGCCTTTGTGCTTCGCTGTGGGGCTGTGGCGGGGACTGAAGGATGTCTCCCCAGCACGGCTTCTTGTGAGGAGGCTCAAAATAAATTCCCAATACCCATGGCACTCCTTCCTCCTCTCCACTTCTAGTGTAAAGCTTAAGGCGTCTTAAAAACTGCCTTAAGCTCTGCTTGAGGATGTTATTTTTGCAGTGCTGGTAGAGCACGAGGGTACTGGGTGAAATAAGGATGGATTTGGGTTCTCAGCCATTGCTCACTGGCCATTCTTGCAGCGGGGAGCCCGGGCACCCCTTTGGTACTTCTCGTGGCTGTTGCTGCCTGTTTTGGGCAGCAGCTGCTGTTGTCTGTTGTTGTTTACACCCGGGATTAGAGAGCACAGCTCCCGGTTGGAGTAAGAGCTCAGCAAATGGCAAGATGCAGCTTCTGTCCCAACGACACCCAGAGCCAGCAGAGAGTGCCTGGCCAGCAGAGCCAGCCTGGAAGTCTCTTCCTAGCTGAGAACTGCTTTATTAAAACTGCAGATCACAATCTGGCGTGAAACTCGGGAGTTAGTCTCTCTCCCAAAGCGGGGTATGCATTTGCAGTTGACTGTGCATCCAAAGGGATGAGCCAGAGGGGTGTTTGTGGGGGAGGAAGTGGAAAAATCCAAAGGGATGAAGCAGAGGGAAATGCAGCTCAGACTCAAGGGGTGTCTTCAGGGAAGGTGCCTGAGCTGGGGTGGCCCCAACAAGCTTTGGGAATGCAGACTGTTTCAGGAGGGACAAGAGGAGGGTGCAGGCAAGCCTGCCTGGGTGAGAAGCAGGGGGGACACGGCCGGAGCAGTCCCAGCACAGCCGGGAGGTCTGTGCCCGCGGGAGGGAGCACAGGCAGGCATATCTCCGAGGGTGAGGCTTCCCCTGAGAAGCACCGAGTCCCCTGTGCTGATCTGCTCGTTCCTCTTTGGAGCTTCCTGCAGTCGGTGTGGAGCTGATTTGGCAGCAGAGAGTAACGCTTTGGGGTGCAACCTCTGCTGGGGGAAAACCTGAGCATCCCCCTGGGGGGAGCGGGGAGCGGGTTGGGATGCCAGCGTGAGGCCTTTGGGTGCCTGTGCCATGGGAGCACCATCCCAAGGGGGGGCATTCCTGGGGACAGCAGCCATAAAGCACCCCAAAGCAGGACAGTCCTGCTGGGGACCGGCTTCCCCGTCTGATGTGGGGAGATGCAAGGCTGGGGGTGCCTGTGGGCTTTCTTCTAGCGTCCATGGATCAGCAGAGGGAGACAAAAGCTCAGCTGGAGCTGGAGCATCATCTAACCCCAGCGGCAGCCCGGGGATGGGTGGCCGGGGGATGCTGAAGCCAGCGGGCTCTGCTCGCTGCCCGTCCCTCCTGGGCGCTGCCGGTAGCTGGGGATGGAGGGGCGCCGGGGACCCGTGGGTTTGAGGTGCCAAGCTTAGGCTGGCCAGAGATGAGAAATTCAGTCTGACTCTGGCTTCCTGCACTGGGGAGAACAAAGAAAGGCCTTCCACCAAAGCAGGATGTTTGCATAAGGTTCCCGGGTTTCGCCCCACCGTGGCAGTGGGTGGCTCCGTGGCCTCTCCCGCGCTCACAGCCTGGCTCTGTCCTCAGGGCTGTTTGGCCTCTTACATTTCACAGGTCCGTGCCATGAGGTTGTCGTTCGTTGGCGAGATGGGCTGGGAGCTGCACGTGCCCAGGACGGACTGCGTGAAGGTTTACCAGGCGGTGATGCAGGCGGGTGCCCGACACGGCATTACCAACGCCGGCTACAGAGCCATCGACAGCCTCAGCATCGAGAAAGGTTTCTTGCTTCTCTTACAGCAGCACTTTGTTGCTTTTCCTCCAGCCAGGGGACCCAGGGCAAATGAGTTTTTCCCAGCTTCAAGGGCAGGTTAGTGTGACTGGAGGTCTGGCAGCTTCTGGCAGAGATGCTTCTGGCCCCAGTGCTCCTTGCTGAGACTTCCCCAATCTGGGCTCATCGTGAGGGTGCTTTGTCCAGGAGTAAGTGAATCGAAGGCAACAGGGTTGTCCAGGAGGCAGGGGTGATGTCTTGGTTGCCTGATGCTGCTCACCTCAGGCTTGCTGCATGGCAGGGGGAGTCTGGGCGACCCACGCTTGCTTTCTGCAGGGTACAGGCACTGGCACGCAGACCTGCGCCCCGACGACACCCCACTAGAAGCAGGCTTAGCTTTCACCTGCAAGCTCAAGTCCAGCATCCCCTTCCTGGGCCGGGAGGCTGTGGAGGCTCAGAAAGCCAAGGGCATCTTCCGCCGCCTCGTCTGCTTCACCACTGAGGAGTGAGTACCACTGCCGGGCTCCGCGCAGCACCGCGCGCCAGTGGCCGCCCCGGGACGACCACCCTCAGCCCCCCCAGGCACCCCTGCACCCGGGCACGCACGTGGAGCTCAGTTGCAGGGCAGCTCAGCTGTTTTCCATGCTCTAATTCCGTCTCTAATTTAAATCCCACTGCAAATTCCCTGCTGGATGTTTAATGGGAGGTGGAAGCGGTGTGACAGGGAGTGTTTCTTGTTTCGCCCGGAGCAGCGGGAGGTTTTGTAAATCAGGCTGCAGGGGCTTTGCCGACACCTGGGACGTTAATGAACCTGTGGGCAGCGGGAGCCCTGGAACATGGGCTGGCCCGGGGCAGAGCTGGGGTTCGGCCCCCCCAGGCCCCTCTCCCATCGTGGGGTCTTGACGTGGGGCTTTGCTGACGGCAGCTCTGCCTTCACCTCGCAGGAAGGTGCCCATGTTCGGCCTGGAGGCGGTCTGGCGGGACGGCGAGGTGGTCGGCCACATCCGTCGGGCAGACTTCGGATTTGCCATCGACAAAACCATCGCCTACGGTTACATCCGAGACCCCGCGGGGGGGCCGGTGAGTGCAGACCCCCTGCCACCCCCAGCCCCCCCGGAGACAGGGACAGCTGTGCCTCCTTCCCTGCAGCGGGGACTTGCCAGGGGGGGAGCGTGATGCTTGTTTGAATTTGAAGCCGTATGCATAAGCTCATTTCAAACCTGCTGTCGTCTGGGGAGCAGGAAGGGGCAGCCCCCCCCAAGCTCCCCCCCCGCAGTGGAGGCTGGAGGGTGAGGGATGTCACGGCTTGGTGGCGAGGTTGGTCTCACCGGCTGTCGCTCTGCGGGGCCCCAGCGATGCTCTCCGTCTCAAGCGCTGCCTTGGCTGTTAATTGCAACTGAGTATTTAATTGCAGCAGTGAATTAACTTATGTTATAGGAAGCAACGGCCAATAGGAGCACAGCAGGCTCTTAATTAACCCTGGGAGACTCCTGGATAGTAAATCAGATGCCCTCATTAAGCAGCTGTAGGCAGAGGCCAGGGAACCCGTGTGGGGACAGAGGGCTGTGGATGACATCCCCAGGCACCCTCCCTCTTGCAAACCAAGAGCAGTGCATAGGCTCGTGCTTTTGCCCTCTTGCTTACCTTGACTTTTGATCCTGCATCAGCGCAAGACTCCCAAGCCCAGCGGTTTGGTGTTCCAGTTGCCCCCTCAGCCCCCAGGACCCACCTTTTCTCCCCATGGTGAATGTTCCCCCCCAGACCTTCTCTTCCTTTTCCCCTTCCCCATTCTCTCTCTCTCTCCTCCCTGTTACGTCTCACTCTCCCGCCTGCCCCCGGCAGCGTGAGGGAGGCAGCAGGATGGAGGTGGCAGGGAGATGGTCCCCTCCTGCCTCCGGCGAGGCACCGATGCGGCAGCGCGGTGCTGAGTGCCTCCCCGCAGGGTGCATCCATCACGCCGCTCTCCCCGCTCCCCCACCCGCGGCAGGGAAAGCTCTGCCACAGGGCTGGCAGCAGGCAGCTGCCTGCTGGGCTTCGCGGGGGCCGAAATGGCAATGGTGGGGACAGGCAGTGCGGGCGGGTGGCCACGCCGTGGGGTCCCCAGCCCTGCCAGCTCTTTTGCGTGGCTGCAGCCAGGAAGAGGCACTTGTTAACGTGCAGCCCTCGTCTCCCTGCTCCCTGAGATAAATCCTGCTTGGTTTGGGCAGATACTGTGGAAAGAGGGGGGAGCTTTGCTGTGCAGGGAGGGGAGATGGCTCAGGGGACATGCACCGCGACCCTGCCCCATACCATCCCTATCAGGGGCTTGGTGCTGGACCCAGACCCCACACCAACCCCAAGCCCTTGGAGAAGGGCAGCGAGCCCCCCTCTTTGCAGCTCCCTGGCAGTGGGGTGCCCAGCCGTGTTGCGTGTGGCCCTTTTGTTTCCTTCCCCTGGATACGGCCCTTCAGTGATGGGGTGCAACCCTCCACAGCTCTGGGAAGTGGGGTGCAGGATGGGGATGTCAGAGGAGCGCAAGGGTACAGGGGGTGAAGTGGAGAGAAGAGAAACAAAAAAATCTGTTTGTAGCTGAATCACTGACAATTTCCAGATGTTAAAAACACACCAACATCGAGAGCCCCCAGCCCTTCCCTACACCGGGGTGTCTCAGCCGCTGTCACCGGGTAAGCCCCATGGGTGGAGGGGACAGCTCACGCTCCTCATGCCGAGTGGTGACATCCTGGCTGCCACCGTGGTCCCCTCCTGCAGCCAGGACAGACCCCGTTCGCCTGTGCCGTCCCCCCACCCAGCCTGGTTGCTCTGGCCCCTCTGGCAATGAGCTCCCACAGCCCGGCTGTACGTGCACCTTGCACTGGGTGCTACTGAAAAAATCCACAGGAAAAAAAACGCCAACATTCAACCTCCAAAAAAATGAAATACTGCATCCTTTTTATTTATTTTTTTTTTAGATGAGTGCTTTTAAAAATCTATTTTCCTTCTTTCTCTGTATCCTCCTGGGATGGCAGTGCCGGGTTTTCTGTGGAAGGCAGATCTGTGGGGTGAGGTGGGAGCTTGCCCAGCGATGGAACTGAGGTGCTGGCAGGGGGCTGGTGCCCACTGGTGCCTCGCAGCACCAAACAGGGTTTTCACCACAGCTCTAACTTGCAGGTCTCACTGGATTTTGTGAAGAGCGGCAGCTACCAGCTGGAGAGGATGGGAGTGACCTACCCTGCCCGAGCACACACCAAGTCCCCGTTCGACCCGGACAACAAGCGAGTGAAGGGCTTTTACTGAGAGTGCAGCAGCGCGGGGCCGGCGAGCGGGTGCTGCAGACGCCAGGATGTGGAGAGGGAAGATGCCATTAGGAGCTGCCAGCTGAATTCCTGACCCCTGGATGCCCCAGCTGGCTCCAGGGTCTGCTGGGAGAGCCAGGCAAGTGCCTGCAGTGAACTCATCAAGAAAATTTGGGTCAAATTAGAGGGGAAGAGGAGGAAGAGATTCCAAAAAGTCCAACGATTTTATTGCTCTGTTTTCTAAATGAAGCAGTACCACTACAGCAATAATTCTTTTCCATGGGTTAATTGGCCTGAAAACAGTGTTTTGCTTGACTGAAAATAAAGTAGTTTCAATTTTTGACTTTGCTGGGAGCCCTTTCCCCCAAAACGTAGTTTCACGCTGCCTGGAAATGAATTTTTTTAACTAACTCTGCTGGTAATACAGCTGTAGCCTCCGAACCTGCTGTCTCTCTGGTCCCTTGCTGCCCCTGTCCCTGCTCTGATGGGTGTCACCTCACCCTGGCTGTGCCCTGGGGACCCGGTGCTGGGGTGGGAACACTCCTGGGGGCCATGGGAGGAAGGGGCAGGAGGCCCAGGCTCTTGCCGTGGATGCTCTGCCCACTGAAGGGTTCTTCTCCACCGTGGAATTGTTGGCGTTACCCAGGGGGTTTCCAGGCATGTTTTCCATATCTCTGCAAGCACAGGTTTGTCCCTTCATCTCATCTCGCCCTGGTCACAGCCAGAGCTGCAGGTCCCACTTTGGCAAAAGTGGGGCGTCCAGAGGTCAGAGGGCAATTAAGCATCCACTTCTGTTGCCTTCAGTGGTAATTGGTACCTTGGCCCCTTTGAAAAAATCAGCCCTGGGGTGGGAAATGTTCAGTGCTTGCTTTGAGTTTGTTCCTGGTGCTCAAGCACTGCCTCAGCGTGCAATGGCTGTGTGGAAGGCAGGGAGGGTCGATCCCCCCAGACCTGAGCGATGACCCCGTCCATTTGTGGGAAGGCGAGAGTAAAGGCAAGAGTAAAGGCGAGTCCCAGTTTCTGGTCGTGGCAGTGGGAGTGTGTTGGTGCCCAGGGAGTGCTGCCAGCCTGCACCAGCCTCTGGGTTTGCAATGAGGAAAACACGGTGGTGCCGGGCGGCCCCGTGATGCTCAAGTGGGGAAAGATTCTCGTGTTGTGCCCCAGAGTATAAAAGAATAAAAGAAACTCCCAAAGACACGTGATGTTGGGATCTGGGTCCTTGCTGAGCACCTGTGTGTAGCCTCTGAATTCGTAGAAGGAAAAGAGTTTGATGGACGTGTTTTGGCCCACGGTTGCTTTGCTGGTGCTGTTTGTGTCTGTGCCCCCTCTGAGCTGCTCCTGGTACAGGCAGGACCAGCTCAGCGCTGTGGTGTAAGCTCGCCAGCTGGGGCTCTGACACCAGGGCAGCCCTTGGCCCCCGGCGGCTCCGTGCTCCCCTCTGCTCTGCTGGCACCTCCCCAAAGGTCACCTTGGAGGTGGCTTCTTTCAGGTCCCGACAGAGAGGGGGCTGCACACAGAGGCTGGGCTGAGTGCTCCGTCTTCAGCGGCGCAGCAAGGGCCTGATCTCTGCTGAGGCTTTCACCCACCTGAAGAAATAATCACGCTGCGTGCTTTTCACTTTATTTCCCTTGGCTAGGTTTGCTTGGTTTATACCCTCCTCAGAGCTGATTTCCAATGCCTTAGCTTTGTGCAACAAGCACCATGGGCAAGAGTTTGAACTCTCAGATGCTTTGGTTTTACCAGAAATGTTAAAAGACAAGATTGGGATGAATTTTTCTCTGAATAGGAGGTGATTGCACTCCCTGATTCTGCCCAGGTGGAGCGGGTGGCAGTGATCCTGTCCATTTGTCCTGGGGATAAATGAGGAACCGAGCATGCTGCCTCCCTGCCGAGCCAGGGATCCACTGCATGTCTGCAAAGATAATGTTTTGCTTTAAAAAGACCTCTCTGATCCGCAGTGCTTTGACTTGAGGGTTTCCCTTAAGCCCAAGGTGGCCAGGAGGGCAGGTTTTGGCTGGGATGGACCCCAGGGCAGTGAGGGGCAGACGCCCAGCTGTGGTGGATGAGCTCTTCTGCAGCACCACCGGCATTTCCTCTTCTCCTTCTATCTATTTTCCGTTTGGTACTTAACAGTAAAAAGCAATTTTTTCTCTTTCTTTTTTTTTTTTCCTTTTTACATGTAGGTATTTAATGAAGTTATTTTTCCTGCCAAAAGGTTTGTCTTTCCCCCTGTATCCCTCGCCCCCTTTCCAAACCCCACCACAGAGATATCATTTGTTCCTGGCCATTGGCATCTAGTGGAGTCAAGACAAATAATCCCCAGTGTAGAGGGGTGGGAGGAGGAGTGTGGGGGGAGCCGCAGTCCCTGCAGCAGGGAGGTGAGCACCCGGTGGGCGTCACAGCATCCCTCCCTCCTTCCCTCCCTCCATCCCCACCATGGGTTCTGCTGTGGGAGAGCACCCACGGAGCCACCCCGAGCTAGGCAGGACCGTGGGGCACTGGGAAGACTTGTATGCTGCTCTCACACAGATCTTTTCTTTGTGCCTCAGTTTCCCTGCGGGAAAAGAAGCTTCTCCCCCCCCTCCCTGGGACCGCGCTGGGTTCAGTACAATAGCAAACCTCCACATTATTATTCTGGGGGTGGAAAGCAGCATTACTCAGAGCCAGGATTGCTAATAACGCACTAAATATAGCGCTTTCCATCTCCAGAGTGCTTTCTGAACTCTAGCTCATGAGCCCTAACCCCCTCCAGAGACGGGGGCCAGGGCACCGGCCGGTATCGCTGTGTGGGCAGGGATGCTGGGAGAGCAGCGAGACGACATTCCCCGTGGATGCTCCTGCCTGGGGATGTTTCCCATCGTGGTGGAGGGAGCAGGTGTCGGGTCAGTCCCTCCTGAGCTTGCCCAGGTTGATGGGGACGGGGGCCGCAGGCTGAGGCGCCGGGGCGGGCGGGCAGCGAGGGACGGGCTCCCGCAGCCTCTGGGTGATGGTGGGGAGCAGCTGCTTCTCCCAGTCACCCTGCAAGAGAAATCAGCGCCGTGAGACCAATTAGGAGTTTTGGGTACTTGGAGACTCCGTGTTTCTCCCTACTTGTAAAAATGAAATGATCTTTAATATTTGAAGTGTTTTTAGCCTGAACTAGGATGTTTTCTTACGAGATGTTACTAATTATTTGTATTGCAGAATCACCTACGCATCCCCTTAGTGGCGCAGACATCTGCGGTGCACCACGTCGCTCAAACCACCACAATTAGGGAGTTTCCACCCCAAAAAGTGTTACCCACCAAATCAGATGGGGACAACTCAAACCAGCGAGCCCCACCGACCCACTGTGTTCACAGCCCAGCCCTGAAAAATGCTCTCTAGCAGGTATTGGCAGGCAGGTTGGTTGGAGGCGACGTTTGCAGCGTGCCAGCGTGGATGTTCATATGCAGCTGCTGCGAAACAGGAGGGATGCAGAGGATGAGGGGCAGAGCAGGGGAAGGGATATCACAGCCATCGGGGCTCAAGGTGACCACGGCCAGGACAAAACCCCCAGTTCTGCACGTGTATGGGGGCACCTTGTCTTGGGGCTGTTCCCTACAAGGAGCAATGTGCTGGAGTCAGAGAGTGCTGAGGGCTGAGCCCGCCGGGCAGGATTTGGCTCAGATGTGATGTGTTGGTCTGGGTTAGTGGCCCAGTGAGACGCAGGCAGGGGCTGAGAGGGTGAAGGGGGGCTCGGCCTGGGCTGAGCTCTGGTTCAGTGATGCTACAGTTTGGCTGCTGGCTGTGCGCTCAGGCAGAAACATTGGTGAGAGGCTGAGCCGCAGCATGAGCAGGAGGAGGGAGGTCTGGAGAGGAGAGGTAGAGCTGTGAGTCATCAGCAAGAAGATGAAAGTTGAATTTCTGTTTTCAGATTAAATTTCTTGTAGTATGTCAAGCGAAACAGACCAGAGCCTGCACCGGCACCAGGAAAACCCTTGGGGAAAGGTGGAGGGGGATGGAGGGACCCTCCCAAAGCACACGGGGAGCAACTGGAGAGGGCACGGCATTGTAGGGGAGCACCAGCTGGAGAAGTGACTATTTTACCTGTACTCTTTTGGCTTAAGAGAGCAGTTCAGCATGTTCAGGGTGCGCCTGCTCCAGGGCTTGGCCCCAGCCCTGAGCCCATCTGCTGTGGCATTCTGCCCTGCTGATACGTCCCAAACCCTGTGTTCACACCTTGCCAGCACCCTGCTTTTGGGGTAGATTAAAGGCATTTGGAGTGTCTAAATAGTTGTTATTTTCAGTGGGGTTTGAGTGGAAATCTGCATACAGAGAGTATAGAGATTTCACTGCAAGCCCTTACGGGTGCAGGCGACTCAGGGACAACGTCAAGCGTTACCTTGAGATTTTGCTCAATAATTAACAGCACTCAGGCCTTCCACAAATCTCATCAGGTTTGGGATTGCTGATCTGCAAAAGCACAAGCTTAATTAGAGGCTGGTGCTTTTCTCTTGGCAGAAATAGTGTGGAATAAATGAGATGTCTTAAAATCGGACTCGCTCTGAAAACACCAGCAGAGCAGGAGGGACAGCTCAGCTCCTTCTCCCTCGATGCCATGCTCGTGACCCGCTTTGTGCCAGCATCAGCTCTGCTCTGCTCCGGTGTCTTCTGACCACCCCCATACCTCTCTGAAATCAAGAGTTGCTTAGGCTGTGGTTAAGAGGCTTAATTCATAATTCTGCCTCTGCATAAAACTTCTGCACCACTTTTGTCCCTGCAGCAGGGCACAGCATGGCCGAGAGGTGCTGGGTGTCCAGGGAACTGGAAGGGTTTCTGCCCCTCCAGAGCAGACTTTGCTGAAGTGGGTTTACCAGGAGAGAAAGGTGATGGTCATCCCTGCAATCAGCTCGGCATTCTCCAGCGCTGCAGTGGATAACAGATTAAGTTTATTGCACTGGTAAGCAGTATCAGGAACTGATGGTGATAGGGACCATCAGTGGTTTTAAATCTTCATTACGGTCATTGTCATGACCATCATGCCTAGATCTGGTTTTTCTTTAAAGATCTCATGGCCCTTTATCCTTCGTGTTTTGCCGGATCTCTGTGTTTGGAGACTGCACAGATGCTGTATGTAATGAGCTCTCTCTGATGGGACCTGATGTCATTTGCCAGAAATCCTAAAAACCACCTCACATTTCTCCTCAGCTCTGGAGCTAGCCCTGCTTCAACACTCAGCAAAAGCAGCCTCCAAATTGCTTTATGCAACTGCATCTCCTAATTGAATCTGGCCGAGCACATCCATAGTGGGCTCATGTCACACTGTTTTAAACACCGGGGCTGAGCTGGGCTCAGTGTCCTCCTGAGGCCGGGGGTTCCCTGGGCAGCTCCAGCTTCCCCGAGCCTGCTGGGTGCAGCTGCGTCCCATCTCATCGAGGTCACCCTGTGGCACAGCCCTGTCAAGCTGCTTTTTACCTATGGCTGGGAGTTTTGCCATGAAGCTTTGGTTGTGGAGCTCTACGTACCGGGAACCGGACGGCTGAGGATTTGTTGCAGTGCACTGAGATTGGAGCAAAGCTGTACAGGGATTTCAGCACATCTCTGTTGAATGAGTTCCAGGGGACAGAGAAAAACTGCTGTGGGACGGAGACCTGCGGGCACATGCAGACCTCCTCGTCGTTGAACCTGGGGCAGGAGAAATGCCACAGTGAAACGCGGCAGTGCTGTCCCCTTTCAGCACTTGGATGTGTCTGATTCCTCCC